AAATACCAACCCCCACCACCCTTGAGAATTACTGCTTTAGGATGACCTACAAGCCATCCCAGTTTGCCCAGGACTGAGGAATTTAGCCTATGGGACTTCCATTGCTAAAACCAGTACAGTCCATGTGAACTGGGAAAAATTGGTCTTTAAAAGTAAGAAGGCCTTTGGGGAGGCCTTCCACGTCAATCCACGTCGGCACGCTTTGTGATCTTGTAAAGGCTTTAGAGCCCTGGCCAGCTTGGCTCAGTGGTTAGAGCACCGGCCCATGGGCTAAGGGGTTCTGGGTTTGATTCTGTCCAAGGGCACTTACCTCAGTTGCAGGCTTGCTACTCGGTCTGGTTGGGGCAAGATTCAGGAGGCAGCCAATGNAATAATTTTTACTATTTATTTTTAGATATATTTTTATTGATTTCAGAGAGAAGAAAGGAAAGGGAGAGATAGAAACATCAATGATGAGAGAGTCATTGATTGGCTGCTTCTTGCACGTCCCCGACTGGGGATCGAGGCCACAACCCAGGCATGTGCCCTGACCGGGAATCGAACCCCGATCTCCTGAATCCTAGGTCGACGCTCAACCACTAAGCCACGCCCGGCCGGGCAATTTTTACTTACTATTGACTTAGACTATTTGGTCTAGCCCTGGCTGGGTTTGCTCAGTGGTTAGAGCGTCGGCCCACAGACTGAAGGGTCCCGGGTTCAGTTCTGATCTTGGTTGCAGGCTCGCTCCAGGCCCCGGTTAGGACATGTGCTGGAGGCAACTAATCGATGTGTCTCTCTCACATCGATGTTTCTCTCTCCCCCTCTTCCACTCTCTGAAAAGCAATGGAAAAAATAACCTTGAGAGAATTTTTTTTAAAAAGGCCTTAGAGGCAAGCGTCCATCTTTTTCCTCAGTGTCTCTAAACCTGAATCGTGGTGAGAATGGGCCATTGGGAGCTCTGGTCACGGCCAGTGGATGAAAAGAACGTGATTCGAGTCACGCTGCCTTTTCTAGGAAGAGAGGTTCTTGTTTGACACCTAGTAGTGTGTTTGAGTGACAGGCGTCTCCTTAGAGCTGTAGGCTGTGTGACAGGATACATTATGAAAGTGACAGCAGCAGTGGGGACTAATTTAATCCCATCTTTGTTTGCAGCCCCGATAAATCATTACTGCAGGGAAAACTAAATTTTACTTTCTCAGACAAAAATGATTTGAATAATGACGTGCTCTGGGGGAAGCAGGGCCTGAGAGAAGGTCTGTTCGTGGGCTTAGAAATATTTAAACTGACATATCATAGAACTTGTCGCAGATGCCTCCTGTGCCTGGCCTGGTAAATGACTCGCACCAGAAGGGCCTCCTTCCCCAACTAATTAGGAGAGTCACATAAAATCAAACCAACCGTCTTGGCTGAATGATTGTGTTTTTTAGGGCATTTCATTGGGAAAGGTAATTGACTATAGTGTTGTGTATCCTGCAAGAGCTGGTGAATGAAGCAGCTAAAATAAGGATTGTAGACTCTAGAATCCTGACCATTTACAAATGGGAACAATCTCTGTGTGAGTGGAAAACTGCCAGTGTCTTTCATATTCCTTCCAGAAAATGATTGCTGCTTAGGAATGTGCTGCTTCTGCTGGGAAGCTTTCTAAATGATACAGGGAATGAATTATGGAGGGAGGGGGGCTTGGGTCTCAGAGTGCCATCCATGCCTGAGGAGCCTAATGGATCTGGGGAGGGGTGTGGTGTAGATGGAACCCCTCCCCCAAGGAGGACAGTGGATAGTGGGCCCTAGTGTGTGTAGGGATTGACACCTATGACTTTGTCTAAGCTAAACAATGCCCAGCCTGCTTTGGGGAGACCCTGCAGTTCTGTGTCAGCCCATTAAAAGCCCAGGACAACCACTTGTCTGTGAGTAGAACCCACTTCTTCCTACCCTCCCCGTTGCCATATTACGCTGGGGTTGAGGGCAAAGAGGAAGAAAGCCAGGGGAAGTTTTGCATATGACCATTTCCCTCAAGAGGACCCACTGCAATCTTCCCACACTCGAAATCAGCCCCAGTTGCACTCCGACTTCAGGGACTGAAAGAATAAATCACAGGCAGAAGCTATAACAGTGCCTGTTGGAAAGCAGCCTTCCTTTTGAGTGGTGTGAGTGTAGGGTAAATGAGCAGTTACCGCAGAGATGATTTTATAGGACTGAGCCGTTCTGCATTAGAGCAGTAAGAAGAATTGTTATGTGAATTCTGAAGCTCTCTCCCCGCAGCCCACCTGAAGCAGCAGTGGTCTTCGTCACACTCACCTGGCTCATGGGAGCTTTAATTTCCCCTTTGTCTTAATCCTGAGAAATGGCCCAGAGCTTTGGGTTAGGTCCAATTGGCCAGCCATTGAAAGTACATATTTGTCTTTTAAAGAGCAGGTCCTGGATATTGTCAGAAACTGGAGAAACAATTTGAAAAGACATACAAGGTTCACAATATTTTATTGGCTCTGGTTGTCACTAAATTCCTTGTCCAGGAGGGATTAGGGATTTGGGGTTCTAGAAGCATAACGCCCCCCCTTTCTTAGTTATATCAGCTTGGAATTCAAACCTGCCTCGTGGTGTTCCTTATTGCCAACACGCAGCCCTCAGGAGCTGAGTGTCTGCGTCATCTCGCTAGTCTGACGTCAGTGTCCCGGACATTTAGCTGTAGGCACCAGAATAGGAAAGAAACAAAATGGTAGTATCTGGAAAGACACAGAACTCCAGGGTATACTGCTGGGGGTGCAGGGATAAAATTGTGCAGACATATTTAAGGAATATATAATACTATGTATTTAAATGTAATATTTAAGGAATTCTCTGGGCCTGTCCTATGCTGTAGAGTTTGCCTCTGAAGGGAAACAAAACTTAATTAGTCTTTGGTTTACAAAAGGCCTTGGGACCTGTGTGCTTGGGTTTTCTTTGTTTTAGGAATCTGTTTTCTGCACATGCTTGCCTGGGTCCCTGCTCCAGAGGCACGGCTCTGTCATCATATTTGTTTTCCAGGGCTGCGGCAACAAATTGCCAAAAACTGGGTGGCTGAAAACAACACAGATTTATCCTCTTACTGTTCTGGAGGCCAGAAGTGTAAAATCAAGGTGTCGGCAGGGTTGGTTCCTCCTGGGGGCTCTGTGGGAGAGTCTGTTTCGTGCCTCTCACCTGACTTCAAGTGTGTGCGGCAGTCCTTGGCTTGTAGCCGCATCGCTCCAATCAGTCTCTGCCTCCGTCTTCACATGGCCATCTTAAACCTAGAGAGACTTCATCCTGAGATCCTTCACTTGGTTACATCTGCAAAAACCCTATTTTCAAAGAAGGATAAGTGCACAGCTTAGGATGTGGATCCGTTTTGGGGGAGAGACACAAGTCAACCGACTGCAGCCATCAAGTGGTTATATTTTGTTTCTCTTCATATCTCTAAAGTTGCTGCTCTCTATTGCTTTAGTCTACTTTCAAAACATGGCTCATTTGGATTGTTAAGCTGACGTCTGGCTCTAACATTTGCCTCTTTGCCCCCATATTCATGTTTAAACATCCCTTCATACTACTTCTGCGTATCACTCCTAGTAGACAAAGGCCAGGCTGGCCAAACCCTATAAACATAGCACCTCCCAGCCACTGAATTCTCAAGTCCTTGTAAATAAAGTCCAAGAGGACAGGCTTACAATCCTATGAGGTCCCCACACCAGGCTGTAACCTTCTGCCATCACACATCTGAAGAGCACACGAATATGCACAGAAAACAATAAACTATGGTAAAGACCAGAGGGGTGGGGAAGGGGTGGCCGCACAGAGAAGAGCTGCCTCAGAACTCCTCGGGTCTCTCTAACAGTCAATTTATCCAAAAAGATATGGTAGCAGAGCAAGGCTCTGGACAGACTCTGATTGCGTTTTCTTTTTTTTTTTCTTTCTCTTAGCAAATTGCCTAGCTGGGCCAGAGCTGTCGTTCCCAAAATATTTTATGTTACAGAGAAGGCTTGGAACTATTATCCCTACACAATTACAGGTAAGTCCTTTGTGCAACCCGTATGTTACTTGCAGCAATAAGATATAACAGTTCAGATTTCACTGAGTTCAAGTTTGTTATCCCAGCAGAGACTCCTAACAGCCCCCCTCCTCATTGACCCCCCCCCCCCAAAGAACATCTTGACTATAATTTATGTAAAAGATTCTATTGGGTCCTTCTGTTCCAAACTACATCGTGATAACCTCTACGCTGATGCTGAACTAGAAACTGTGGCCAGGAAATTAGGAAGTTTAGTCCCTGCCCTCTCAAACACATGAAAATTCAAGATCTCACTTGAATGTCATCATAACAGGCTCTTTTTATTGGTTTTGAAAGCTGCTTTTCCACTTAAAAGATCTCCTGTGTGGTTAATGAAATGCTCTACTGGAATTATTAGTCTTTAATTCTGCTTTTATAATGCCAACTCTTTGGTTTTAATTAGCCACAAACCCATAGGCTAATTGAATCTTGTCCTACAGCCCTTATCTGACCAACCACCAAAGTGCCATTTGAAAGGGTTTCAAGAGCAAACATGGAAACGTTCAGTATTTATGGAAGTTTAATTCTTGGAAGGTTTCTTGACCACATTTAAATAATTATCATGCACTAGTATATGTTAGTTCTGTGGTTTTCTGTTGCATATAAGTGTGGTCTAAATGTCTCTCTCTCTTTTTTCTCTCCCTCTTGTCCAAATGAACATCCGGAACCAGAATACACAGTAAGTTTTATTTAATCATTTTGAAATACTCAGCAATACGGTCAGTAGATTAATTGGAATGTCCCTCGTACTTCTCATCTTATCAGTGTAATAAAAACATAGAGGGATAATTCAGAATGAGAAGTGTTTAAATGTTGGCTATTACATAGTTATATATAATGCAATAACTTGGATGTTCTCATTTGTTCCAGAATATGGCTGTTAATTTAAAACGCCTTGAGAGTTACTTTACATAATTAACTTTGCTTGTATTCCTGAATAGCTTGACTGCTCTACTTGTGATAGTTCACTGCAACAGAACAGTTTCTAGAAACACAGTATTAAGGAGACGATGGTAGTTATCAATGGGAAGTGGTGTTTATATGTAAAGGCTGTGGCCTTACCCCTTATAGGAGAGCCTTGAAAGCAGAAAGACATAGATTCAGACTATTTTACTCAGAGCTCTGGATTGGACGGTTTCATTGACTTGATAAAAGTCATTTCACTTTTTGTCTTAAGAGCCTCTAGAGTCATTACTTCCACTTAACAACAACAAAAAAAGAGGACCCTATAATATAGTGTGTTGTGGTATTTTAATTGGATCATTTCCCCATTGGCCAACAGGTCAAACCGTCATAACAAGAAAATGGTTAACTGAGTTGTGTTGGAGTTGAGTTTCTGGTTTCTTTGGTTGTTGTTGTTGTTAGTCTTCACCCTAGGATATTTTTTCCATTGATTTTTAGAGAGAGTGGAAGGGAGGAATGAGGGTAGGGAGGGAGGCAGGGAGAGAAACATCGATGGGAAAGAGACACCTAGATTTGTTGCCTCCCATATGCACCCTGACTGGGGCAGGGGATTAAACCTACAACCCAGGTACATGCCCTTGACTGGGTCTCAGTCTGCTCAGGGTGTATAACAAATATCACAGACTGGGTGGCTTAAACAACAGACATGCATTTCTCACAGTTCTGGAGGCTGGAAGTTCAAGATCAAGGTATTGGCTGATTCAGTTTCTGGTGAGAGCCCTCTTCCTGGTTTGCCAAAAGCCACCTTCTTGCTGTGTCACAGCAGAGAAAGAAAAAGCAAGCTTTCCGGTCTCTTCCTATAAGGGCACTAATCCCATCATAAGGGCCCCACCCTCGTGACCTCATCTAAACCTGATTACCACCCAGAGGCCCCATCTCCAAATATCATCACATTGGAAATTAGGGCTTCCAGATGAATTTGGGAACCGGCACACAATTCTCACATAGCATGCTTATTCCAGGCCCAGTGGCTAAGTGGCATCACTGTATCCTGGCCGCCTAGACACATAGAGGCCAGGCCAGGGCAACTTTGAATGTCAGGTTGGGGTCTGGATCTCATTTCCGCAGGGAAGCAACAGTGCTCCTGTCTAAACCACTTTTATTTCCCATCCCAAATACAGGACAGCTTTTCTTTCTGTCTCCAGTGACTGGGGGAGCCTGGGTTTCTCTCTCTGGCTGGAGGTGCACTCTGTCCCATTGACTCGGACGCAGCTGTGTTTTCACACTCTGCCCCATGCAGCCCTGGGGGAAGAGCCCACTCCTCTCTCTGACCACAGGGTCTGTGCCCAGAATTTATGACAGATGCTTTCAATCGTCTTAATCTTTTTCCCTGTTTTAAATGCGTTTTCATTGGGCTCTTTATCCCTTGATCCTTTAATCCTAAATACCTCTTCTTGATGCTATTCCAAGTTTTATATTTCCTGTCTGTGCCCCAAAGCAAAACTTCCCCAACACCAGACTCCCAATTCCTGTCACCAAGCCCTCCCCCTTCCTCAGGGAAGCCAGATAGGTGTCTCTTTTCATAGGATTAGCCCAGAGCAATGTTTGTCTATTCCTAGGCTCCTCTAGGTCTTATATCTGACTGTCCAGCCTATTACTGAGACCTCATGCTGCCCTCATTTGTGACAAAACCCAGCCAAGAGAACTTTCTATTTAGGGTCATCCAGGGCTTCCTCATTATCACAGTTACAGAGACGTAAAAGCTTTTTCATCACTGTGAGTGACTGCAAGTGTTTAGGATTATGTGGAAATACGATTTGCCCAGGAAGTGGAAAAAAATATCTTTAGCTTGGTTATAGGAAAAATCTTAATTATACAATAAACAAAGAATAACACAGCGACCATTTTCCAGAGGACAGACCATCTAAGCAGTCCTTCAGAACCTGCTGGTCCTTCTGAAGTTTGTAAAGTCAAAAGGAAGGTGCCCGAGGAGACTGGCTGCCTTCCAGAGCAGCTGACTTTGTTTTTCTCGGGCTAAAAAAAGGCAGCGCCAGAGCATGGACATAGCTCAGCAGCATCGATTCAGCCTGAGTAACAGTGGAGGGTAAAGAAAAGGATTTTCATCTCATTTGTAAGAATTTGACAACTTTAGCTATAGTAAGTTGATAGGAGTGACCTAGAATATACAGTTGCTATATATTTTTGCTGTTATGACCATCCCATTCCACCAAAACATCTTTTTCTTTTTTTTAAACAATTCAATTGCCTCTCACCACTTTCCTTTCTTTTTAAATTTATTGATTGATTTTTTTAGAGAGAGAGAAACACCAATTTGTTGTTCCTCTTATATATGCACCCATTGGTTGATTCTTGTATATGCCCTGACCAGGAATCGAACCTCCAACCTTGGCGTATCGGGATGACGCTCTAACCCCTGAGCTACTCGGCCAGGGCCCACCAAAACATCTTTTAATAAGAATCTGCAGAAGAGGCGATGACACAATGGAAGCACTTTTCTGTTAGAATAGCTGGCTATCGTTACCCAGGGAGCAAAGGTAGTCCTGGGCTGTCTAATGTTACCCAACATTTTAATTATTTAGTTGAAAGAGGTAGAAAAGGTAAATTGTAATAGATCAAGGAGAAGGAAATAACTCTTGGATGACAACAAACAGTACTGAGCCACCGTGAGAGGTGGGGCTGTTCAGGGTTGGTTCAGTCGGGCCTAGAAGAGTGAGGGCTGCTCACAGCTGAGAATGGGTCATCAGTCACCCTAGATGAACTCAGGTTGTCTTCCCAGGAGTGGAAATCAATTGAGGTACTTTTCTGAAAGCAGCTAACTGTCCTGGAGGAGAATCCATTTGCAATCTTGGCCTCATCAGTTTCTCTGACAATTGAAAGAGCTGATGGGTGCTGATGACCATTCCTCTCAAGCCCTCTCTTCCTTCCATTGAGTCCCGCCAAGCGTTGTTACCAAACTAGGAAATTACAAAACTAAGAGATAGGTACAAGTCCAGGGAAGATACATTATTGCACCGGAACCCTAGCGCTAGTCTTGTCCAGAAGGAAATTAGAGGTCAGTCTAGCCATCTCAACCACTCTGTCAGCTAATAGAATGAAGGTCCCTAAGTGTTTCTTCTTTGGGATCATGAAACCAGGGGTTGTGATGGGGGTTAGAGGAATAGGAAATAACTTTTTTTTTTCTCATCGATTCTAGAGGGAGGGAGGGGGAGAAAGAGAGAGAGAGAGAGAAAGATACATCAGTCGGTATATGCCCTGACTGGTAGTCGAACCCGAGAATCTCAGCAACCTAGTCAGTGGGTACCTGGTGAAATCAGGAACCTTGGAACATCCAGTCAGTGTTGTCTGTCTGATTTGTCCCATTTCCATCTGCTCTAGCTGTTCCCAAGCTCTTCTTTGTACTTCAAAGAAAATTAATTTAGCCATTTGGAAGGGGCAGGGAGAGAACAGAAGATAAAGTATGCTTCACTATCCTAACATAGCATTTTTAAATTGTTTGTATTTTTTAAACATCACTCAGAATGACTTTACAGAGGGCAATCATCAGAGAGAAAAAATATTTGCTTAAAGGAATTTTCAATAGATTTTACTAGGGAATTATCCTTTCTTTGTTTTCTACTTTCCATGTGTGGTAATGAAAATTGGATTTCTCTTCTACAGTTTAAGACCTATGGAGTTGTATTCAAGTGATGTCAGAGTAATACAACTGGGGAAATTTTGTGGGGCAGATTTCTGTAAAAATAAAATGCATATAACTATGGTTATGCTCTTACAGTAAATTTTAGTGATTGAATAAAGTCAGTGCAAAATTGCCCATCTCTTCTGACCTCTCTAATCACTAAGATGCTCTGAACTACATGATAGTATACATTTAAGTAAGGAATTTGCCCAGTTGATTAAGAGGGAGATTCGTACAGGTTTTTACTGAATCTGTAGGTTTTCTACCTGGCCATATACCAGCCTATCTTTGGGAAGTCACCCCAATTTGATCCCATCTCTGTTATTTACATGCATTCTTTTTCATTTGATGTGGCCTGCCTGTCTCTTTAAATTCCTGTCCTGCCTTTACTGCGTGTGGCTATCAGTATTGATGAGCATCTTCTGCTTATTTTCGCCTGGTCCGGCCCTAGGTTGTATGAGCCTGAGTTTAATTTCCCTGCCCTATTTTTGTAGAAGCGTGCGTAGCAAACCATGTCCCCATTGAGGAAACGTCCTTTCATTCATGTCTCTGCTCCCTTTCCCAGCCTCACTCCCCCGGTGGGTTGCTGGTACTCGGCTCCCTCGGTGAGTGAACTAATGAATGAACCGAAGCCTGCGTGCAGGGTGCGGCTGATGAGCAGCAGCAGAGGGGCCGGCGTTCATTTCCTCGCTGTGGGCTGGAACACAAGCAGCTGTTTTCCGGCTCTGTTTCTGTGCCCTGCCTCCTTCTCACCCTCCCCTACCTCTCTTTCAGGCCCTACCACCCTTGGATACATTTTTTTCTTCCCGTGCAGCCTGTAGTTGGGAAGTTGTTCTCTGGTTTTAGCTTCATCTCCAGTATTTACATGCAATTCCTATTGTTCTTTGCTTTAAAATTCTTCTACTTCTAAAAAAATCTCCACTTGGGTTCCTTTTCTCACTTTTCTGGAACTATGTTCTTTGCTGTTTTTTCCAACTACCCCGCCACTATTACCACCCACGTTATCTGTGTGTAGAGTCATACGTGGCCCTTGGAACCCAGAACAGCAAAAGAAGCCCAAATGTCTCCTTTTATTTCCT